ATTTTTTCTTTAAATTTTACGAAGGTGCGACTTGTCCAATCAATATTTCGTTCTTCTTGGCGCTGGAAGCGCGATGGGCCCTTTTAAAACCCTTATGAGTTTCGGTGCTCACGTGATTGCTATAAACTCTCAAAGGCCGGAAACTTGGTTCGCCCGTTAATAGTAATTATAATGAAGTAATAATATAATAATAATAGTAACAATTAATTATAAAAATGAATATATTATTAAATAACTAACAACATCCATAAAAACAATAAATTATATATTGTAATAATAATAATAATAACTGCCATAAATAATATAATGGGAAAATTAAATATTAATATATAATAAAAAACAATAAACAAAAGATGACATCTACTGATATATTAAATTTCAGATAATTTTAAATATAATAATTATGCTAGTTATAAAAAATATAATAGAAAAAATAATATTAATAAAAAATAATAAATTCTGTAGAAATTAATAACAGCCATAAGAAATTAATAGAAAAAATAAATAATAATTAATTATAATAATAATAATATAAATAAATAATCTAATAATAAGAGCCATATAATATTGAATAGAAAAAATAGATATTAATAAATAATAGTAGTAATAATAAATAATTATTCAAAACAACTTAATAAATATATATATATTTAATAATTGAAATTAAAATAAATATCAGCTTAAAGAAGTTAATTAAAAAAAATAATAAATAATAATAATGAGTAATTAATTATAAATAATAATAACAGCAGCTATAAAAATATATTCTAATATAAATAATTATAGTGATAATAATTACTCACAAATAATAATAAGGCTGTAAAAACAAATATTTATTAGTAATAATAATACTTAAAAAGAATATTAAATAATGAAATATAACAAAAATCATAAAGATAGTCGTCATAACATTTTTATCTTTACTATATTATTACTATTTATTAATAATATATTTATATATTTTTTGAATAAAAGTATTTCTTTTATTAACTTAGAAAACTTTTTTTTTAAAACTAAATAAGAACAGTAACAACTATCTAGTCTTACCTTTTTATTATTATTATTTATCAACAAACTAATACTTTTATATATTTTTGGTGAAAAAGTACTATAAATCGATCTTTATTAAAATAAATATTAATTATTATAACTTTGTAGTCTTTACTTAAAACTTTTAAATAAAATATTAACAAAATAATAATAATTTTTATTGTCTTTACTTTACTATTATTATTATGTGCAGTATATATTTATATATGTTATCAGTTCAAAAAGTTTTTCTCTGTTATTTTCTTATATATATATTTTTTTAATATAACATTTTTTTTTATTACTTTATTATATATTTTTACAACTATTAGTGCTTTTATTTAAAAATATAAAAATATTTATAAAAATAATTATTATATCTTCCGTTTTTACATTATAATTATTATTTATTACTATTTTTTAATATATTTTTAGTTATAAAAGTTTTATTATTATTTTTTGTATTTTTTCTAAACTTAATTAATTTTTTAAGGAAACGATTAATAGAAATAACGAGAGCCTCTTCAGGAACGTTAACGTTTCCTCTTTCCGTTGAACAAAATGATATGAATGGTAAAACTTTTATGGGAAAAACTTTTTTTTTCTTTATAAAAAGTGTATAACAATTTTTTTATACTTTCGATAAGTTTTATTGCTTTTTAAAACTTTATTGGCATTAATTTTTATGAATATTCTTAAAAAAAATTATATTTATAGAAAAGTTATATTTATAAACTTTTACTATAAAAAAAGTTACCTATTTTTATTTATTTTTAAAGTCATTATTATAGAAAAAAGTTATTTTCTTATAAAGCCTTTCAAGTTGTATTAATTTTTTTTTTCATTTTAATTATTCATATAAAAAAACTATAGATTTTATAAATTGTACGCTATTGGTTAACACATGTTGGGGTTGCATTTTCAAGATAAAATTTGATTATTCTGGGCGCCAAACTTTTCCTACTTTTATTATTGTATCATTATAATTATATAATTAGTTGGTTATTTATAGAGTTTTTCATTACTTTTTTAGATGTGATTTACTATGTTGCTATTGACTTTTATTATTCACTATTATTTTTGCCCTTTTTTATATTTTAGTTTTCTCCTACTTGTATCTCATTATTTTTCGTGAAACTTTATAGGCCAGAACGGCTTAATCTAGTTACTTGTAAAGTAGTGTGAAAAGCCATTGGGGTTGCCCCCAATCATGAACAACGTAGTTCATATTTTATTAGAATAATTAAAACTTAGTCGAGTAGTACAACTTTTTTTGTCGCTGTAACTTTTAATAAAGTGTTTTAGCCAGTAAACTATCAAATAATCGTGAAGCCCAAATATAAAATCTATTTAGTCCTAACAAACTAACTATAATAAATATATTTTTAATGTAAAATGTTTTGGCACTAATTTTTTTTCACAAAAAAAGATGAAATGTTGTGTGAAAAAGCGGGTTGTGATTTGCTTACTCAAACGCCGGAAATTAAAAATTGGCTTAATGAAGTTATTATTGCTATTATTACTCCTTATAATTATTTGTTCATTATTATGAATATTTTAAAAGGTTTATCCAGATAAAGAGTTTATTATTGGGTCTTATTCATACCTTGATGGGGAAGCTTATGTACTCTTCATTATTTTTATTTACTATTTAATTTGCTCTATAAAAAATACATATAAAAAGGGTATAATATTTCTGATAAATGATTGGACAATTATCTTTGCAGTTTTTTTTAATAAATTCATTAATACTAAATATTATATCATTATTTCTTATTCTTTTTTATTATTATTAGTAATTTCATTAAAAATATTGAAAAGTACCAAAATTTTATAAAATTATTGCTTAAGAATTTTTTTTATGTATAAAAATGCATTAAGAAAAAAATCTATTACGTTTTGATAAGTGATTGGACAAATATCTCTGCAGTTTTTATTTTTTTATTTTTTTGTTTTTAATCATTAAAAATACTGTACAACACAAAACAATAAATTAATTTCTTACAAGTTTATTTAATTGTAACGGGCCATTAAAAAATAACGATACGTTCTAATAATTTACTGGACGGTTATCTACACAATTTTTTTAATTTAATAAATTCGTTACAAATATTGTAAACACAAGTACATAATAAATAATTTTCACTAGAATTAAAAATTATTATTGAAAAATTGATTCATTTTGATACCTGATCGGACTATTATTGGCCCAATAATTATTTTTTTAATAGCAAATTTATTAAAATTAATGGGAAAAGTTAAATAAAATTATTTCTTAAGTTTTTTTTGTTTTCCAATGAAATATATTTTTAAAATTATGATACGTTCTAACACTTGATTGGATGATTACCTGCGCTTATTTTTTCTGGAGTATTCATTAAATATATTGTTAAACACAAAATTTTGTTAAAAATACGGATATCTATTACAATAAAAGAATTTTCAAATATTTGATTGGACGATATCTGCACAATTTTTTAATATATTCAATGAAATCATTAAAAATATTGTGGCACTTAAGAAATTTTATAAATAAATTTTTAATAATTTTTAGTTTTACTGTTTTTTTTTTATACTTGAAAGGTTCGCGTTTCATTGGCTATGGATGCCATCTTAATGCAGGTTTGCTCGAAGCGAAAAATTAAAGGTAATTAGCATTTTCAATTTTATTATTTCATTATTTTTATTGCATGTCTTCTAATTAGCAATTATTAGCCGTATTTTGTTTCATTTTCATTGGTCGGTTTGTTTCTTCCTATAATTTTTTAATTTTTATTAATTTTTTGAAATCTCTAAAAAATTAAAATTATTGGTTGTATTATTATTGTATATATTTTTTATATTTCATTAATTTCAGTGCTTGTTTTATATAAAAAAATTTTATTTTTGTATATTATTTTTTCTTAATGTTTTGGAAGTCTGTATAATTAAATGTCATTGGTTTTATTTTTATTGTATATATATTATTGTCCATGTCTTAAAATATATAATATTTGTATTATTTTTATTAACTTTTTTTTGCAATTTACTATTACTTAAATCTCAAGTTGTATTTTATGGTTGTATATTTTTTATATTTCATTAATTTTTGCGTGTCTTAACAAAGTATAGTCGTTATTTACCTTTTTTTTCAATTTCTGCATGTCTTAAATAAGAAAAATAATTGTTGTTTTACTATTGTATTATTTTTTTCATTAATTATTGTGCACGTGTAAGATAAATATAGTTGTTGGGTTATATATATTTAAATTTCTACTTTTCATTGTTTTTTGTAAGTCTTCATATTATTTACTGTTGTAATTTTTTTATACATATTTTATACATTATTTTTTTGCATATTTTAAAAAGTGTTAATTATTGGTAGAGTTATTTTTCATATTTTTATGGCATATTAAAATAAAGTAATATGTTTTATTTTCATTATTTTTTTTCTATTATTTCTTATAACTAAAAATAATTGGTTGAATAATTTTCGTGTAGATATTTTATATACTTCGCTAATTTTTTTGGTTATCTTCAATTTAAACATTATTGGTTTTATTATGTTGGTATTTTTTTTGTATTTTTTATTAATTTAATTGCATTTAAATCTAAAATTTATTGGTTGTCGTATTCAAGTAAACTTTAATTTTTTTCATTATTTTTATTGAATGTCTTTGAAATTTAAATATACTAATTATTATATATTAGTATATATATATTTCATTATTATATTTGCATTTCTCGAAAACAAAAATTAATGGTTGTATTATCTTTTAAATATAAAAATTTTTAGTGAATTTGTAGTTGCTTGTTGGGAAATTTACTTAATAACGTATTTTTTTTAAGGATTTTTGGATAGGCTTTTCACTATAAAGGAAAACTATTAACCTTTCATTTTATTAAATGATATTTTTTGCCCCATCTTTTTTTCGACGCGCATTTTTTTATATTATTACAATATTTTTAACGAATGTATAAGTTTATTGTGCAACAATTCATAATTTTTAAGTTAAAGATTTTTTTACGAGTAATAAAAAAGTTTATTATAAGAAAACTATTTTCTCAATTTTATAGTTTTTTTTTATTAAAGTCTTTTTATTCTCTTTTAGTATTTTTTTTCAAATTATTATATTTGTTATTTTCACTTTTTTTTTTTTTACAACTTTTATGTTTTTCTCTAAATATAATTTTTATAAATTTTTTTAATTTAGTTTATTATATTTTGTTATATTCACTTTTTCATCTCTTTAGTTTCTTTTATTTTTATTTTTTAAAACTTTTTTAATACCCTTAAAGTTTTTTTTTAATTTTTTTTTTATCTTTATAATTTTTTATTTTTTTTACACTGAATTATATTTTTCATTATTTTTAAACTTTTTTTTATATCTTTTGAGTTTTTTTTAAATATTTTTTTAATTTTAATTTTTCCTGCACTTTTTTTATATTCAAGTTTTCTTTGTTATTTTATTTTTAAAGTTTTTTTATATATTCTCTAACTTTATTGTATTTATTTATTATTTTGAAACTTTTTTATTCTCAGTTATTTTTTTTAATATTTTTGTTTGTTTATTATTTTTTTTAATTTTATTATATTTTCTTATTATTTTTAAACTTTTTCTGTATCATTTAAGTTTATTATATTTCGTTCTTGTTTAGTTATTTTTACAATTTATCTTTTAAGTTTTTTTTTTTAATTTTTTTATTTGTTTCTTATATTTCTTCATTACTTTTAATATTTTTTATTTTTTTCATTAAATTTATTATATATATTTATCTTACAACTTTTATATATCTTTGAAGTTTTTTTTTAAAGTTCTTTTAATTTTTTTAACTTAATTACACTTTTTAGTATATTTTTAAAATTTTTATAAAGTTTTTTACTTTATTTGTATATTCATAAATTTTTTTTCTTATACTATACATTATTTTAACTATTTATATATATTTTTTATAAAACTTTATTTTTTCCTGCAGGAATTGCTTATCTAAACACGCCAACGCTTTGCTATCTGATTCCCAACGAAGCAGCGCAGGCCTCCGTGAATAATTATTATAAAGTTGTGCATTTTTTTAATAAATATATTATAAAATTGTTATTCGTAATAAAAATATATAAATTACTAATACTTTTATTATTTGAAGATTTATTAGTATAATAAATATAAATAGTTAGAAAGTTTCATATTTTTATTGAAAATATAAATATATGCAAAAAAATATCATTACCTTCATCATTATTATATATAAAAAAATCATGATAATAAATTTTAAAAGTTAGAATAAGTTTTAATAATATATATACTAAAAAATAATTTTGCCTCATTATTATTATTAAAATTCTTAATATAATAAATATAAAAGGTTAAAACTCTTTCATATTTTTATTATTATTTTATAAATATATACTAAAAATAGTATTACTTTCATTATTTATTTAAAGTAATGAAATAATAAATATAAAAGTTAAAAAAGTTTTATGCAATTTTTTCTTAATAAAATATTAATTTATACTAAATAATATTATTACTCTCATTATCATTATTTAAATTTCTTAGCATAATAGACATAACAAGTTACAAAAAAGGATTTTTATTAAAACGACTTTGATATATAGAGATAATATTACTTTCATTATTATCATTATTATAACTCTTAACGTTAATATAAAAAGATAAACAAGTTTCATAAATATTTTTATGAAAAATATAAATTTATACTAAAATTAATATCACTTTCATTATTATTATTAGTTTCTTAATTTAATAAATATAAAATGTTAAAAAGTTTCATATGAAAAATAATATCATTTATACCAAATGATAGTTTTACTTTCCTCATCATTATTATTAAAGTTTCTTAATATAAGTATTAAATATAAAGTAAGTTTCATACATTATTTTATTAAAAAAATTATAAGTTTATACTAAAAAATAATATTACTTTCATTATTATTACTGTATGTATATTTTTTTATACAAGCCTTCCATATTCAACACTATAATGATGCCCCTTCGCTTATTGGCCCCTCGCCTTGCTGATCGGTAAAAATAATGAGCCGTGCGGTTTTCAAAAAATAATATTATACATAAATATTTTCATAGAAATATTCGTACGACTGCTACTACGGAGGATGGCAAAAAAGAGTACATCGTAAATGGTCTCGTTTTGGCGCAAGGTGGTTAATGATTGGACTACGTGGTTATACGTTTTCCCTGATTAGTCTCTTTTTCTGCAGGCCCGAACTATGCCTTGGCAAAGTCTATTCAACTTTGGCGCAGCATTATTGCAAAGTTTATTATGATTATTATAATTTTTCCTTTTTTATAATATATTTTCTATTAATTTATAATTATTATTTTTATTTTTATTCATTTTTATTTATTAATAAAATTTTATTTTCTTTATTTATTATAAATTTTTTATTTCTCCAGTACTATTATTATTTTTTAATATTATTTTCTTTACTTACTATTATTCTTAATTTATTTAATTATTATTATTTCCTAAATTATTATTATTTATCTATTATACATTTCTTTATTTCATTATTACTTTTTTTTAATATATCATTATTATTTATAGTATTATTATTTTTTATGTTATTATTATTTATTTATTATATATTTTTATTACTATTATTATTATTCTTATGCGTTATTATTTTCTTTATCGTTTGCTATTATATTTATTTATATGTTATTATTATTTTTTTATTATATATTATTTTTTTCATTATTACTATTAATTTTATTTTTATTTTATTATTTTCTTTATTTCTTATTTTTCTTTTTATTTACTATTATTTTTATTATATATTTATATTATTATTACTGTTATTATAATTTATATGTTATTAATTTCTTTGAATTATTATTATTCTTTATAGTTTATTATTTATTTATAATATATCTTTTTATTTCATTATTATATTATTTTTTAAATATTATTCTCTTTATTGATTTATCATTATTTAATATATAGTTATATTTACTTACTTTCATATATACTTTATACATATTTTAATAATTTCATTTTTTTTTCTTTTTTTTATTTATTATATATTATCATTTATAGAGAAAAAGGTTTCTTAGTTTCTAGCAATATCGCGCCCGCCACAAAAACGGTTTCTGTGGTGCATAATCGAAAGTTTGCTTGGGTGACTACTATTATAATTATTTATTAATTATTATTATAAATATTTATTTATTTATTTTATTATTTATTTAATATTTATTTAGTATTACAAATTCTATTATCATTTATGTATTTATAATAGTACTACCATTTACTATTTATTTATTTATAAATATTATTTTTATTTGCATTTAATAATAATTTATTATTTATTTTATTATTTGTTTATTTATTATTATTAATTTTATTGTCTTTTATTTTAATATTATAATAAATAATAATAATTGCAATTTCTATTTATCAATTTATTATTATTTTAGTTTGCTTTTTTTATTTCTATATATAATTATTTATTTAATTTCTTATAGTTATTATTATTGATATTAATATTATAGTTTTATTATTATATTAGTATCAATTTGTTATTATTATTAATATAATATTAGTGTAAATATTATATTATTATTATTATATACTTAAAAAAAATGTTATTTTCACTCCTTGTTATTATTTATTTTTTTATTCATTAGTATAACTGTATACTTATTTGTAATTATTATTATTATTAAATTTTAAAAATAAAAGATTTATTGTAAAAAGAAAATAAATAAAATAAGTTAAATATTAAATTATAAATTAGTGAAGAAAAAGTAAACAATAATTAAGTTTTATATTATATATAATAATAATAAATAAATATTGAAAAGCACAGTAAGTAAATTTTATATATATATATATATATATAATAAAAAATAAAAAAATATAAAAAACTTTAAACAAAAATATAAAGTAAATATAAATAGATTTATAAATCAGAATAATCTGTAATATATAATAAATAAAAATCTACCAACTAAACCAAAAAATAACCCAATCATTAAAACCTTTAAGGCGTACAACGGCTATCACTATTTTGAGCCAATAGAAATCTTCGAGCCGGAGACGTCTAGCGCGCTCATGTGCGCTTTACTTATAAATGATATCAACAATGAAGACTCTTGTAGTTCTCCAAAGGTTTTATTGTATATAAAAATTTTATTTTTTTCACTTTTACTTATTATTATTATATATTTGATATTTATATTATTTGTTATAAACGAAAAAATTTATTTACTTATTATTTTATTATATAATATGATTTACTATTAATATTTATATTATTTTTTATTTTTCTATAAAAAATTTTAAATTTTATTATTATTTTTATTTTTTGTTAAAACTTGTTTTTCTTAAGTTTATAATAATGTAAAAAGTTCATTTATTTACTTTTTTTTTTTCACAATAAAAAATTTATATTTATTTTTTTTGTTAATATTTATTTATTATAAAAAGTTTTTATATTTTTACTTTTTATTATTTTTATGTTTATTATAAAAAGTTTACATATTTACTTTTACTTTTTGGTATTTTCATTTTTAAAACTAATATTAATATTATTTTATCAAAAGTAGTTTTTACACGCGTATTTATTATTTTGCTTATATTGTTCTAAAAAGTTTATTATATTTACTTTTAATTATTATTATGTATAAATATTGTTAATATATATTTATTGTTTATTTTATTTCTCGTTTAAATTCTTACTTTAAGCCGTTTATTATTATTAATATTATTATTCAAATTTTAATTTTTTTATACTTTTTAATATATAATGTAAAAATGTATTATTATGATTTTTTTTTATTTTATATCTATTATTTATATATTTATTTATTTTTATTAGAAAATTCTCCCCCAACTTTGGGATTTATTTAAGGACGGCGCCCTTCACGGAGGTGTATGGAGATCCGGTTTTCCTTATTGTTACTGTTTTAAATGCTTTTTAAGATTATCTTTATTAATTTTATTTTATTTATTATTTAAACGCTTTTAAAAATTATATATTTGTTATTATATTACTTTTTATTACTATTAAAATGCATTTAATAATTATATTTATTTTTAAATTTTATTTATTTATTCTACAAACTTACAAAGTTTTTTGATTTACCTTTAAGAATATATATATTTTTTTTATTATAATAAATCTTTTAAAACATTCATATATATTTATTATAAATAATATTTAATTATTTTAAGAATACTTTTTAAAGGTTTTAATTAAAAAAATTTCAGTTTTATATTTATTATTATAACTAATTTAAAAATTTTTTACTCTAAAAATTGCCAAAAAGAATTAGTAGTTGTAATAATTACTATAATTATTTTAAATATCTTAATTCACTAAAAAAATTCTAAAAAACTTGTTGCCATATTTCTTTATTATTGTTGCTTTAATAATTTTTACTTACCATAAAAGTTGGTTATTATCAAATATTAATTCACTAAAAGAAATGCTAATTTTTTAGTTATAGTTATATATAATTATTGCTATAAAAAAATTTTTACTCACTAAAAAAATGTTAGATAGTTTGTTAGTCATTTCTTTATTATTATTGCTTTATAAATTTTTATTCACTAAAAAAATTCTAAAAAAAATTACCAGTTAAATTTATTTATTTCTACTTTTATATTATTTAATTCACTTATAAAAAACGCTACAGAAATTTTAACGCGCTAAACACAAATTTACATAATTTATAATTTATTTTTATTTATTACTGATAAATATTTTTAAGTTCACTAAAGATATTTATTATAAATGAAAAATTTATATTCATTAAAAAATTTGCAAAAAATATTCAGTCATACAAAAAAAAGTTAAAGTCACAAAATATTACAAACTGAAACTTTTAACTATTTTATAACGTTTTTTTATATTATGATTGTTCTTTCTAATATGAAAACTTTTATATCATTTTATTATCATTACTTTTTCTGATATTCATTATTTTATAAACTTTTTTTTCATAACAATTTTTTCTGTTTTTTCGTTAGGGAAAATTTTTTATTGATTAAAATTTAATATTGTTTATATATTTTTATTATATTTTATTATTATTTATTATAATTGTTAGCATTAATTTTATTTACTTATATTATTTAAATTTTAAATAATTAATATTATTTTGATTTACTTATTACTAAAGTTTATATTTATTTTATTATTTTAAAATTATTTCAATTTACTTATTATTATTGTTTTTTCCTTTTTTTATTTCTATTTATTTTATTATTATTGGTTTACTTATTATTATAATATTTTTGTAGTAATGATTATTCTTAAATAAAATTATAGTTTTTATCTATATTTATATATTAATTTGGTTTACATTTATTATTATTAATATATTTTTATTTTATTATTACAGTTTTGAATTATATACATTATTATTATTTTCTTCTTAGTTATTGTTAATTTTAATAATTATTACTATTTTGATTTTTTATAACTAAAGTTTGTATTTATTTTATTATTTTATCATTACTATTTCGTTTTACTTTTTATTATTGTTACAATTTCTTTTTATAATTAGTACTATGAATCATATACTCATTGTTATCTGAAAATAGGATACTTATTTATAAATAAATTATAGTTTATATATATTTATGTCATTTATTGTTCATGACTTAATTTTTATTATTGCTCATACTTTTATATCATTATTATTTTGATATATTTATAATTATCGTTTACATATTATCATTAATGTTATTATCGTTATATTTTTTGAAGGCTATTCTTTACAATCGACTGGAGAAATTGCCGCCTTAATGTATTTTTATGAAAAGCTGAAGCCCTTTTTAGTAGTGCTTTTCGCGCTTTTTGCTTCCGTATATTTTACGACATCTTCAAAAAGTGCATAAATAATTTTTTTATAACATAATAATAAAAGTGATTTATTATTGTTATTTATTTTTAATATTTATTGTAATATAAAAATATTTGGATAACAATTTTAAATTTAAATTAAAATATCAGTAAAAATAAATAATTAGGAAAAAAAATAAGTATTTTTGTGAAATTAAAAAATTAATTAGAATACTATTTGTTTTAGTAAATTTAGTAGTAGATAATAAGAAAAATATAAGAACTAAATCAAAAAATACTTTTATTGTTTTCTCAAATATATATGATTAGTACTGGAAAATAGTAAGTAAAATTATTAAGTCATAACTATATAAACGCTATATTATATTTCACAAACTATAAAGTATCAGTAATAAAAAATGAGTAAAAGTTTAAAAATAAATCAAATTAAATTGATAATTTCCTTTCTTTCGTTAAATATAATTATTAAAAAAGATTAGGTAAAATATTAAAGTTTTAAAACAGGTAATAAAGGAATGTTTCAAAAAAGATATAAAATAGTAGTAAGAAGAAATAATAAAAAATTTTTTAAAGGTGATAAAAATTAAATAAAGAAAATAAATTATAATTTACTAATAATGAGTTATTAGTGGTAACTAATATTAAGAAAATTTTAAAGTTCTAGGCCGGAAATTATTTATAAATAATTAATCTAAACATTAAATTTTAAGTAATATAAATAAAATTAAAATATAAAGATTTCACTTAAAAAAGAATGAATTTTTTCTAAATAGAAATTAATCAAATAATAATAAAAATCTGAGGTGAGTTATGGCTGAAAATAAATTATATTTTAGTAAAAATAGTTTGTAGTAATAGAAATGTTAAGAAAATTTTATATATAAATGACTGAAGAAATTATAATTATAAAAAATATCGATAAATAACTTTCAAAGTATTTATTACATAAATTAAATAACCGAAAAAGATAGTAATTCTAGCAACAACAAGTAACTTAAAGTAAAATTTAATATAAAGTAATAATTTAGGTACAAAATTTTTAGTAAAATAGCTTTTCTAAGTGAAAAGTTTTAGTAATGAAATTTATAACATGATAAGTAATAGGTAATTAAAGGCTTTTCCGGAAGATATTCCGAGTTTGGCATAAAAATGATACTTATAATTAGTTTTCAAAAGTTCATATTACAATCTGCGTGCTTTGCAAACAGCAAGCTGAGTCTCAACTCCTTTAACTCTCTTTAACAAGGAAACTACTATTAATTCTTCGTCTTATGAAAACTCACAAGCTTTTTATAAAGACATATGAGTGTAAATGTTACAAGTCTACTACATTGGAGTCGGTCATTGTCGCAAAGCGAGTTACAATTATAAAAAATTAAAAAAAAAAGTTATTCTAATAATTTAAGCTATAGAGTGAAGAGTTTTAGAATTTAGTATTAAACTTATATATTTACCAGTAACATATACAAGTGATAATTAAACAAGGTAGCTAAAGTTAGGCGACACAATAATTTAAAGATTACACTCCAAACGAGCTTTTTTAATCGTTAACGTATAAATATACAAATTTAATAACTTGTGCCTAATTTTCTATAAAAGCTTCACTATTTTAATAAATTAATAGTTTTTTATTAAAAAAAAAATTTAACTACACTAAGAACAGAGCAATTACGAAAATAAGCATCAGTATTATAATTCAGATTGGCAATTGTAATAAATTTTTTTTTCTTTTTCATAGCATTATTTATACTAAAAATCATTACTAAATCTAAATTTTTCTTAAATAACTAGTTGTCTATAAAACAATTCCTTCTGCTGCTAGCTAAATTTTCCATTTCATTGCATTATAGCATTGCCTAGCAATCCCTAGCATTCTTTTCTCTCATTAGTAAATGAAAAGAATTTTTGGTTAAAAAAAGAGGTTCATAATAGAATCTTTTTAACGTCTTTGAAGTCTTAGCCTATAAACAGTGTAAAGTTTTACTTTGAAAACGGGTTATATACTCATAAAAAAAGGATATATTTAAATAAACTATAAATAAGAAGAGCCGTTCGAAGTTTTACTCCTCTTGTTAAAAGATGCTTGGTTTACTCTTTAATACAAGCAGAATCGGCCATGTTCAAGCCCAAAAGAAAAAGAAATTCCATAAGGCGAAGGAAGCTTGATTATTTAGTATAATTCAAAAACGAACAAATAGTTAACGTAAACTTATTTATAATTATCTAAAATTAAAATATTCGCAATCTAACAATAGTAGTTGCGCAAGTATAATAAAAAAATAGTTTTAATGCTTCAGATTTTCTTAAAAAAAACCATTTATAAATAGAAAAATGCAACAGAACTGGTCCCTCTGAAAAAAAAAATGAAACTTTTTTATATGAAAGTAACTTTTTATCATTTAGTAAAACTTTATACTAAATTTTATAAATTTTAGTAAAAATTTTGGTATACTAGAAGAACTTTATTAATTTTATAAAAAACTCTTTAATATTATAATAACTTTTTAAATTTATATTACGACTTTACAAATAAAAACTTTTATACACCGCAAATCTATACTACTAGTATTAAATACTTTACTGACTTTACTGACTTAAACAACCTTAAAATTTATTGAAATTTTTATGTACTACAACAACTTTATAAATTTTATTAAAAAAGAGTTTCATACTACAACTTGATTAATTTAAAAAACTTTTTTATTCCAAGACTTTACGAATAACGTTTGAACTTTTTTACTATAATAAAAACAAATTCACTTAAAACTATCTCTGTGCTACAACAACAATAATTTTTTATATTAAAACATTTTATATACTACAATCTTGTGAATTTTGTATATACTTTTACCAACAACTTTAAGATTTTAGAGTACTACAAAAGCTTTAATAATTTATTATAAACTATATCTCTTTTTCTATTTTGACAACTATGGATTTAGAAAAACTTTGTACAATAACAATTATTTTTAGTAAATTTTATATGTACTATAAATTTTTACTTTCAATACGAGCTTTATTACTACTTAATAACTGTATATAATTATATAAAAATGTAATATACAACTTAATAATTTAAAGGTTAAATCTTTTTAAAAATTTATTAATTTAATAAAACTTTTTTTCAATTATGACAAAGTTATACTTTACAATCTTACAAATTTTGCAAAAAAAAATTGGTACAAAAATAACTATTAATTAATATAATTTTTTTTTTAATTTTAACAACTTATTAGATTTGATAAAAAAATTTTGTACTACGACAACTGTAAAATAATATAAATTCTTTGTTAACTAAAACATCTTTATAGAATTAAAAAAAAAACTTATTTTCTATTTTAACAACTTTATAGATTTAGTTAAATTTTAAACATTTACAACCATTTACTTTTTAGTAAAATTTATTTGTACTCTAACTCTTTCTATTAATATAAATTTTAGTTTTCTACTTTAACGAATTTATTAAAAAAAAACTTTTTTATACTTCAATAAATTTATAAATTTTTACAACCTTTTCATACTGCAACTTAGTTTTTTAAAATAATTTTTTTATATAACTTTAGAATATAAAATTACATTTGTCAAAACTTTTATTTCTACAATTATATAAATTATAAATAAACTTTTTATACAAAAATAACTTGAAAGTTTTAATAAACTATTTATTTTCAACAACTTAAAAAATTTGAAACTATTTTTAAACAATAACAGCTTTTATAAATTTCAATAATATTTTTTAATCTTAACTTCAATAATTTTATACAAAATTCTAATTTTAATTGAAACTTTTTACACAGTGACAACTTTTACAAATTTCAATAAAATTTTTTAATATACAACTTTATGAATTTTATTTAATTATATAATAACTTTCTTAAATTTCGATAGAACTTTTTAACATATAACTTAATAAATTTTGTAAAAAGTATAGAAATTTTACAAGAGCTTTTTTTATAATAACTTAATAAATTTTAAAACTTTTTACACTCAACTTCGATAATTGTATATAAATTTTTAATTTTCAGTGAAATTTTTCTTAATACAATAACAATTTCTGTAAATCTCGATAAAACTTTATAATATACATAAATTTTGTAGAAAATTAAAGAAATTTTATATAAATCATTTTTATTCAATAACTTCATTAAGTAAATTAAATTTTTTGTTCTACAACAGCAAATCTAAAAAGTAATTTTCCAAATCTTCTTCTAAAACAATTTGGGGATCTACAGCTGCTGAGCGCTTCCAAATTTCTGCTTCCTCATTTTTTGTGTGTTCCTTTTCGTTTAGCGTTTGAGCGTCGCTACTGGGAAGTTCACTTAATTTCTCGCTGGTTGGAATTTCTTCAAACACTTCTAACAATGATAATAAGTAAATAGTTTTTTCATAAAGATATTGAAAAGTAAATAAATTTATTTTACATATATAAATTTCTTAAAACACTTCTAACAATAATGATAATTAAAAAGTTTTTTTTTTCTAGTATAAAGTAAAATAATAATAATTATAATTTATATATAAAAAATTATATTACCAGTTTTTATTCTTTTACTAGAACTTGTTTGTTTAAGATTTTGCTTAGCTTTTTTCTTTTGGTGTTTATAATTTAATTTAAAAGAGCAGGACGAACAAAGTCTTATTTTAACTAAAGCATTCTAATAATAACAATAAAATAATAATAGTAATAGTAATAATAATAATTATGGGACTTTTATTTCGTTATATTCTTCGTAACGGAAATTAACTTCCCAACTTTGCAAACCATCAGTTTCTTTACATGTCACGCATCCGCAGATAAACTGACCTAAAAAAATATATATAGACTTTTTCTCATAATTTACTATTAAAAATTTAAACCTTTCCCCACAATCACTTCATTTTTTGTTCGCCATCGTAAAGCAATCTATAATCAATAAAGAACTTTTTAATAACAAATCGACCAATAAAACGCAAAAATAATTTATAGACGATTAACTTAATAAAAACTATTTTTTAGCTAATCATATTAAATAAATATTATAAAAGCCGATGACAAAAGTTATTTTTATACAATTTCTCTTAAAAAAGGAAGAAAGCACGAAACAAAAATATTGAATAAAGTGGTTTCCAGTAAAAATATACACCAATGAGACAATAGGATTATTATTTAGAAAGTTGAGGAATCAGGTTAATTAAATTCTGGCCAACTTTATTATTTTTTTATTAAAAGTCAATGAAAAGAGGTATTTTATATTTTTGGAGTTCCTTTTCCGTACAGTGAAAAGTGAAATAAAGCATTTTATAATACACAAACTATTTTTTCAATAAGTATATTATATTTTCACAGTAAAAGCCCATAAACAGGATATAAAAGTTTATTTCTTTTACAGGTCTCTTTTGGTACGTGAAAAGATTGCTCTACGCAACTAACAAATGAGAAATTTTTAATATATTTATAAACCACAGTTAACAATAATTAGTTATATCTAATGTTTCAAAACTACTTTCCAGGCAATTATGATATATATTTTTATTTTAAAGCCAGTGAAAAGCTTAAAAATAAAATTTTTAATATTTCCTTTTTTGTACAATAAAAATCATGTATGCAGCCAATGAGGTCTTCTGAAAAATGATATACAAAAGTTACAAAACGTTAACTACTTTCTAGCCAATCATATTTAATTATTACTATAAAAGCCAATAAAAATTATTTTTTATACATTTCCTTTTTTGTACAGTGAAAGATTGCACAGCGCATATTCTTTAAACAAGCGGTCGTAATATTTTTTAGCGAGTTTTTTTTCCCAACTCATACTTTCTTCGTCGGCAGTGTTCCACACAAATCTATTATTATAGAGAAAAGTAAACTTTTTATAATATGTGCTAAACTATTAAAGAAAATACACAATAATACTATAACAAAAAATTTTATAGTAATTATTAAAAGTTTTTGCGATTAAAGTAAACAGAAAAAATGTATTTACTATATACAAAAAATTTTTCTGAAAACCAAATTAAATAACTTATCTCTTATTTTTTTAATAGATATATTATAAAAGTTTTTCATAAAAAAAGAAAATTACTTAAGTATTATTTTTAAGTAAAACTTTTATAAGTCTTTATTAAAATGAGTTTAAAAAATATAATGATTTGTAAATTATATTGAAATTCAAGAAAATTTTAAATTTTCTTAAAAATAGTGGTTTATCTAATGTTGGGTTCCTCTAAAATATTATAATTATATAGTTCCAGTTTTAAAATTTGCTGTATATAAATCATGTATTTTTTACATCAATAAAGAAAATGAATTTTCTATATTTGCTGGGTTCATAAAATACAATGAAATATATAAAAGTTGTATACTAGTAAATAACATGATCAAATATATGATAAAATTTCAATTAATTAGGTTTCCCACTTTTTTCTAATTAAAAAAAAAATAACTATTTGTACGTGAATTTTTATGGTATGAACTTATATAAAATTCAGGGCTCAAGAAATATAATGAAATATAAAAATTGAGTTCAAGTAAAATTTTTTAAAATCATTCTAAATAATCAATTTTTACGTAAATCTTATATTTTGTTAAAAATTTTAATAAAAAAATTTAATATTAAATTAATATGAATTTCAAATGTTCGGTTCAGTAAAATGTAAATATACAAGTAAAAATTTCAAGTGAAATTCAACTGCATTTTAAAAAATTATTTATGTTTTTAATTTGTTGGGTTCAATAAAAATATTGAAATATAATATTATGGATACCAAAAATTTAGTTCAAGCGAACTTTACGAGTTCATTAAAATTTATGAAATTTTTAGTAAATATTTTCAAAATAAAAGTAATAATTTTTTCGTAAATATATTAAATAATTTTTAATAATAAAATTTTGAATGTTGGTTTCAAGTGTAATTTAATAGGATTAAAAAATTAAACTTTTTTTTAGATTTATTGGGTTCAAAAAAAATAATGATAAACATTATTGATTTAGTATAGTAAGAAATATTTATAAAAAAAAATTTATTAAAGTAATTATGAAATATATCAAATCTTGGGTTTCGTAGAAAAACTATACATAAAAAATTTATGTTAATGTTATTAATAACAAATTTTACAAGCATTTTAATGAAATAAACTTTTCAAAATTTGTTGAGTTCTAAAAATACAAAAAAAAAATTTCAAATTTTAATAATTCGGTTTCAACAAATTCCGTTACTTCATTAAAATTACTAAAAATTAAATATAACTTATTAATTTATTTCTAATAATTTAGGGTTCAATAAATAAACTGAATGTGATATTTGTAAATATAAAGATATTTAATTTACAAAATTATTAATTCATTAAAAAAAGTTTTTATTTTTTTCGTCATTAAAAATAGTGAAGTTTCTTGAAAGTCATGTCTTAAAAAATTGGTTATAACATACTTTATATAATTAATAGATATATTTATTAGTATAAAATATATTAAACTTTATTATAAAAAAACTGATATTATAAAAATTATCATAAATAAGAATATATACATAAACATAAAGTTACTTTTTTTATTGAAAACATAAAGATCATTAACTCAACAACAATAAAAAAATAAAAAAGTTGCTAATGAAAGAAGTTTAATATATATGGTAGGTGTAATAAAAATGATAATAAATTATAAAAAAATTTCTTTATAAAATATTTTTAACAAAAAACTCATGAATATATTCAAGTAATAGAAGTAAAATATAAAAAAGCTTCATTAAAAAATTATTTATAAAAAAGTTTAAATATTTAAAAATAATAAAATAAAAATATAAACAAATTTCTTATAAAATATTTTTAATAAAAAACTTTAATAAAATAAAGATTTTGAAGTAATAAAAATAATTGTAAAATGTAAAAGTTTCTTATAAAATATTTTTTACCGAAGAAAAAATTTTAAGAATTTGATGTAAAAAAAATGTAAATAATAATAATAATAAAAATTTTAAAAGTAATAAAAATAAAAAATCTTTAAAAGTTTTTTATATAATATTTTTTATTATAAAAACGTTTATATATATTCTTGATGTAATTAATATAAAAATAATAATAAAAATTTCTAGTAATAAATATAATAAAAAACTAACCTAACCTTAATAATAATAATAATAGTAAAAAAAAAAGTTTATTTAAAAAATTTTATTAAAAAAATAACTTCATCATAACAGTTTCTTAAAAGATATTTTTTACTAAAAAACTTTAATAAATATTTTGAATGTAATAAAAATAAAAATAAAATATATTTCTTACAAAAAAAATTTTTTAAATAAAAAACTTTCATATATACTTTTCAATAATAAAAATAAAGTAAAATATAAGTATTAAATACTTATTTAAAGTATTTATTACTAAAAAACTCAAATAAATATTTACGATGTAATAAAAATATAGAATTTAAAAAAGTTTCTTATTAATATTTTTTACTAAAATACTTTAGTAAGTACTGTTAAGGTAATAAATGTTAATAAAACTAAATTTTATTTTTTAAAATATTATTTACTTAACAACTTTACTAAATAAAAAAAAAAAAAAAACAAAAAAAGTTTCATTAAAATATTTTTTACTAAAAAACTTATATAATATATTTAATATAAGAAAAAGTTTTCTATAAAATATAAAAATAATTTTTTAATAACTTTCATTATAGCAAAAAGCCATTTATAGAAGTCTATAAAGATATTAACTTTTTTTAAAGTTTTTATAGTAATAAATATTTTATTTTTCTTTTTTTTTTATAATAAAAGTTGTAAAAAAAATTAGCAGTTTTCCAGTAATAAATAAAATAGTTTAAGTTTTTTTTACTTATAAAATTTATAAAAAAAAACTATTTTTTTTTTTAGAATTTTTATAACAAAAAAAGTTATATGCCTTTTTTACTATAAAAGTTTATTAAAAAAATTATTTTCTTTAAAGTTTTATAATTATATATAATTATAATAACTTTTTTACTTAAAAAAATAATTAAAAATAATATTTTCTGAAATATTTCTATAATAATAGGTAATATCTTTTAAGCTTTTATTTATTTGTAAAAATTTATAATAAACTTTTCCCTCTACGTTTTCATGATAAAAATATTATTTATTGGTCTTTTTATTTACTTATAAAGTTTAAAAAAAAATCCTTGAAATTTTTTAAATAAAAAATATAAAAATATTTTTTAACTTTTTTTTAACTTATAAACGCTTATAAAATATTTATTATTTAAAGTTTATAAAATAATAAATAAAATTATTTACTATTTTTTTCTACTTATAAAAGTTTATTTGAAAAATATTAAAACTTTATGCCTGTTTTCTGCTTTAACGATATCACGTTCAGTAATAACATCTTTATCGTGTTTGTGCAAATCTCCTAAAAAGTTTTTATAATAAACTTAACTACAAAAATAATAAAATAATAATAAAATTAAGTAAAAAACATTGATAAAAAAATTAAAAAAATATAAAAAAAAGTTAAGAATTGGGACTTTCATAAAAATAAATAATATAATAGTAATAATTATAATTATAAAATATTCTTAAAATTCACAATAAATAATAAATTACTAAATAGTTCTTTAAATAATATATTTCGATAGACTATTAAAGTTTATCTATATAGTAATTATAATATATAAAAATATTTTATAAATCAATAATTAAATATAAAAAACTTTTTGTAACTCTAAGACACTAACAAATAAAGAAATAAGAAAATTTTAAACCAATAAAACGTCAAATAATAATCAACATTATTTATAAAAAGTTAATAAATAATATTAATATTAAAGAAATATAAAAATATAAGAAATATTTTCAAATAAAAAAAAGAGTTTATTAAAGTAAAAAAAAACAAGTTTATAATAAATAAAAATAAATATAAAAAAATAAAAAATTAAGTTTAAAAAAAATTTATAAACCAGTCAAACGCCAAATAATGTTAGTATATTAAAGAAAAGTAAAGAGTCATAAATAATAATATAATAAATATTTAAAAAATAAAAAAATAAAAAGTTATTAAAGTTAAAAGATATATAAATTTTATGAAAAATAAAATAAAAATTATAAAATCATTAAAGTTTTAATAAAAAGTTTTATAAACCAATTAAATGCCAAATAAAGTTATATTTTTTAAAAAAAAGAGTAATTGATAATTATATAATTTATAAATATTTGAAATTAAAAAATAAAAAGTTATTAGAGTAAAAAATATATAAAATTTATAGTAAATAAATTAAAAAATTATTAGAAGTTTTTTTAAAAAGTTTCGTTAACCTATCACACGTCATACAAAGCTGATATTTTCTGAGTAATTGATAAACATATAAAAAATATTTAAAGTTAAAAAATGAAAAGTTATTAGGGTAAAAGAAAATATAAAAATTTATAATAAATAAAATAAATATAATAAAACTATTAAGTTACAAAAAGTTTCAAAGATCAATTAAACGACGCCGCATTAAAAATTAATATTTTCTATAAAAAAAAGAAGAGTAATTGGTAATATAACAAATATTATAAAAATTAAAAAAATTAAAAAGTTACTAGAGTAAAAAATAAAAAATAAAATATATGACTTTAAAGTTTAAGGAAAAAAAGTTTATAAACCAATTAAAAGCCAAATAAAATTAATATTTTATCAAAAAAAGGAAAGAAATAATGAATATATATATGAAATATTACTTTTATTAAAAAATTAATAATAAAATTTTAATAAAAAACGAAATACTAATCATAAATAAATATATAAATTAAATTTATTTACTTAAAAAAATGAATAATTATATTTACTTATACAAAAGTTTTTTATAATTGTAATAATAATAAATAAATATAAAATTATAATTTTTTTTAATAATAACACGCAAAAAAATAGTAATTATATATATAAAAATATTATTGTTATAAAAAAACAATAAATAAATAATAAAGTTTAAATAAAAAATGAATTACTATTAATAACAAACAAAAATAATTAATAATAATTGTATTTACTTACTTAAACAAAAGTTTTTATAATTGTCACAATAAAAGAAAAAATATTAAATAATATTAAATAATATTAAATGATATAAAAAATTGCTGTTTCATAAATATAATGTGTTTAATAATTATAAACGCAATAAATTCTAATAAATATAAAAATTATAAATAATAATCAATATATAATAATAAACATGTTATATTAATATCATTATAATTAATAAAAATTAATTAAAAATAAGATATTCTTAATAAAAGAATACATAATCATTAAGCTGTAAAGTACTAATAAAAATAAAAATTATATTTAAAATAATAATGTATATACATAACAAATGACAACCAAAATAGCAGTGTTGTTACTACTATAAAAAAGTTAATAAAAGTAATTAAAAATGAGAATTAATATGTATATTCTCGCTAATACCGAAATGGTAAAGATAATTGTATAAAGAAAGAAAGCACTAATAAACTTAAAAAAGCTAAAAGTAAATAATAATGACAATGATTATAGTTATAAAGCATAAAAAAGAAAAAATTTTGCTTACGATTTCTATAAAAAAATTATAAAAAGTACTTCAATATATAGTAAACTCAAAATAATATCAATATCTCTTTTTAAAAAAAAGCTCAAATATACGAAAATTAATAATAATAATTTTTAGGGCCAATGGAATCAAAAAATAAATAGAAAATTTGAATTTTAAAAAGTCAGTCTTGATATGAAAAAAATTGCAAAACTTAATAATTCAGTGAAGGCCAATGAGATTACAAATAAATTTAATATAATTAATATTAAAATGCAAAAAAAAAATTAAGCGGTCTTCCGAAAAAAGAAACAGTTGACAATATTTTAGAAAGAAAAAGTTTCTAACATGCAAAAAAGTAAAGTTTAAGATTATAACAAAATATATAAAAAAAGTAATAAATAATAAACTAAAAATTTCAAAATAAAATTTTTTTAATGCGGTATATAGAAAAACCTGATAACTTTAAATATTTATTTTTAAGTATAGTTATATTTATAATAAAGATAATAAATATAAAGTTTATAAAAATATAATTTTAAGTAAACTGAAAGCCATAAGCAAAGTTTTATTTAAAAAAAAAGTATAAAAAAAACCTTCAGGCTTGTAAAATTTAAGGTACTGCGCTATATACTTTCTATGACGTTGATACTTATTAAGAATAAGTTAAGTCAATATAAAAATAATATAAAAATGATTGAAGTTAACTAGACCATAAAGAAAAAACTAGCCAATGAGGGAGTTGTATAGGAAATGGACACTGTCAAATAAAAGGGTAGCCAAAAGTATTGACGGGGGCTAAATAAACTTTTTTTTTACGGCCAATTTTTAAACGTGGAACTCATTTAATTAAATGCTGCTAATTAAATTAAAGGTCGGCGAAAATGCTATTGTAGGTGACTAAATTTATTCACATCAAAGTTATTTTCTAATTTGAAGTTGATTTTTTATAAAATTGCCGATTAATAAGCTTTCAAAAAAATGCAAATAATATTGAGAAGTAAAACATAAATTAAAATAATTTAGTTAATTAACTTTTAGAAGATTTCTGCTAGTAATCTAAATTAAAACCAACAATTACAACAAGAATAATAAAAAACAATATTAGTAATAATAATTATAACAGGACAAAAAAATTATATTTTTTTCTAATTATAAAATTTACTTTTAGTAAGTGAATTTTCAAACAAAAAATTCTAATTTTTATAAAATTTGATTTAGTAATAAAAAAATTAATTTTTATAAAATTTGATTTAGTAATAAAAAAATTAAACCGGATCTTCATAGACTCGTTCTGCTCCGGGAGGAAGAGAAGAAATCCCTTTAAAAGGAAATTATTTAAATATATATAAATTATAGTAATTCGGAAACCCGGAAGCCTTGAATTGACAGACCTTACTAATCTTTTCGAAAATAGAATTTTTCTGGAAGGAAAATTAGTGACTAATAAGCTATAAAAAAATCTTTATAAAGCGATTTAAGGAAAAAAACAAAAATATCGAATAAAAAGGAAGTATATAGTAGTTTTTTAAAACTATTTTATAACAAGAAAACTATAACAGAAGTGAATTCTGTAAAAGAAAAAGTAAATTTTTAAGGAATTGAGTTAATTATTTACTAACTAAATATTAAAAAATTCGGAGGTTAACATATATTATATAAAGATACTTAATTACTTTTCTCTTCCCTCATCTTCGCTAAAATCCGAACGATAATCAACGGAAGATGCCTGATAAAACAAAATTTAAATAATTTTTTATTCACATTTTAAAAAATAAGTACCTCCATTATGTATTACGGTAAATTTTTGTATTCTAGTTATATAAATATGATAATTAAAAAGTGTAAAATATACTTAATAAATTAAAAAGTATACTAAGAATTATAATTTAAGAATACGATGTTTAATAGTTTAACGATAAGTTTTAAATATTATAAATAAGTAACGAAAAAAATAAGTTTATTTAACATGATAAAAAGGTAATATTTTAAAAGTAAAAATTTAATAATATACACCAAACAGTAAACACTTTTCTTAAGGTTAACATTTTTGTACACTATTTTTTCTTGATAATCCTTAAATCTTATGTAATTTATGTAGTTTGAGCCAAAGTTAAAAATTTAGATCATATAAAAAATAAATAAACTTTTATACAAAAAAATATTTAAAAACTTTGTACACGGCTTATTAACTTTATAAAGAAGACGTGGTGCTCCTTTGTCTGCGTTAACAAAGTGGCAGTTGTTAAGAAATATTTGAAATAGAATTTAATGTTGTCGAGTAAAAGCTTTAGAGCCTCGAAGCCCCGATATTATAAATTAAAAAAAAAAATAAAATTTCATAGAATATTCTTTTATAAATTTACTCACCCAGAAAAAGTCCTAACTTTTACATAAAACAGATAGAACGTATTTTTGCTGGCATTAAATAGTGCTTATACGACATCGAAGGACTTCAACGACACACGCTTTTTTCAGTTTGCATAAAGTAAAGCTTTTTTTAAGGACTTATATACATGCGTTGCTTAAATACTTTTAATGTTTATACTACTAGAGAGCAGATTGTACCTGGCGTCGGCTAGGGCTTTATAGTTTATTTTTATTTATGACAAAAAATGCTACATATGCAAGTTTTATACGCGTACTTTTTTTCATTATGTGATCTTATTTGTTCTTTGGTAGGATAGTTTTGAAAAAATAAATAAGAATTCTTTAAAATACTAATGGAAAAAGCTTTCGCGTTATTACATAAAGTCGAAAAGTTTAGTTGAAAAAAAAAAATTGTATAAAGTTTGCTGAATTAAGGATTTAAAATTAACACTGTTTTATTACGTGCCTGATATTCGGAATGTTACATTGTAAAACTTTTTATTTGCAAACAAAGTTATGTGAATTTTAATTATAGAACAACCATATTTTTATTAAACTGATTTTTCTTTATATACTTTTTTTTCTAGCATTTATTTGTATAAAAAAAACCGCTTTTTTAAGTATTTACTCCTCTTTTGACTTTCTCAGCATTCTTTACAAAGTAATTGTGTTGGCAATTTTTGTTTTTGAGTTTATATGTATAATTTATTTTCTTACGTTTTTTTATTTATTGTTATTATTTCTGGCTAAATAATTAGAAATATTGGGCATATGTACCTTCTTTAATTTAATTTAAGTAATTTTTAAGATTCATAATTTACATAAGAATAAACTATATAGTTAATTTTCCGTCATTGTCTTTATCAAGTTTGTGACATTTAACTCACACTAGTACAAGAGGAATATTAAAACATTGATGAAATTTTTGATCTATTTACTTAGTAAACTTTTGAAAAAATAAAATAATTATTAAAAATGGGTCTAAGTTATAAACAACTACTTTAACTTAAAAGTCACAAATTTTGTGGAATTTATATTTAAAAATCGTAGCAGAAATAGTTTCGTCGTAACTAAAATGTTTCCGTGGCATCGAAGTGCTTAAATATAAATTTCTTGAATATGTACTTTTTGAGATGCAACTGCACTGTATTATAACATCAAAAACTTATACTTGTTGGTCTCATTAAAAGCAAAATGAACAGAATATTTAAAGTTTATTAGTAATTTTTATCATGAAACGTCATAAATAATAGTTATATTAAAGAAGTCAAGTCTAATTCAAGCTTGTTAAGGTAAAATGTGGCCTAGAAAACGAAGAAAAAGCAAAATTGTATACTCTGCGTATATAAACTTTTATCTTTTTAGTCTAATTACCTTTTTTATATCTATAAAAGCAGAGTTTTTCCATTGAAATATATATATATATATATAAGTTCGTACGTAGTTAATAAATCTCAAATTTATAACTAATTCACTATTTAAAATCTAATTTTAAATTCATTATTACAATCGCTTAAAGATGTGTACAACTTATTATTTCTGTTTAAAAAGAAACTAAGTAATTTTTTTAATAGTCTAAGTATTTGTTTATTAACCTAAGAAAGGCAATAAATGATGCAAAGATTGGAAAACCTTGTATAAGAGAAAAAAGGTTTTTTTTTAATAATAAACTAAAAATTAAGTTAAGTAACTTTTTTGGCAGGTTTTCTCTTCCTAAACACTTTATAATGTAAAATTCTTATTAATTTAAAAATTTAGTGCCTTGTAAAAGTTTTTCTGAAAAGTGACCGTTGAATGCATTTCTTGTTCGCTCTTTAATGTTGCTTGCTACTGCTGTAACTTATTAGTAGCTTTGCTATTCTAATTAGTGTCTAGCGGTTTTACTCTGGCATTTAGCTATCTGTCAAACATTTTGGCTTTGATAATATGCTAGTTATGTAAAAAGAAAACCTAAGCTAGATAAAGATCTTAGTAGCGCTATGAGCTAGGAAGTTTTGCGTAATACTGCGATAACTAATAGAACACCTTTACCAAAAGGTAATGGCTAATATTTGTTAGATACGTGCTAGCTTCCAAGTATAGTCTTAATAAACTGGTAATACTAATGCTATTTACTAGTATATACTATTAAAAGGGGGCGGACTGAAAAAACAAGGCTTATAACCGTTACGTATACTTGAGAATACTAGTAAATAACACTATTAGGAAGGGTGCCTGTATCCAACATTTAGCTAAGAAACTGGATACAAGCACTTCTCTCCTCCTTACCGGTCAGCTCTTTTGCAGTTTTCGGTCTAACATTTTTATCCAAATTTTCAGTGCATTGTATGGCTGATGCGCTTCATGATTTCTGGAATAAGAGGTATCCAATCCCATTTTGGACACCTTCACCGCAAGCCTTTTACATTGAGGTTTCAGAGGCATTTAGTTAACAGCTGGAGGACGTGCAGAGCTTATCATCTCAAATTACTCAAGTTACCCACGCAGATCTAACTATTTATATATTTAAATAAACAACGTCAGTAGATGATGCTAGTATACAACGCATAAAAGCCACAGGAAATGAGTAACCACAGCTAAAAGGTCATCCACTAAAGTGCCGTGCTTTAGTTATATGGGAGATGACTTCAAGGCCCTTAAAATAACATTTATAATAGAACCTGCCAAAGTATAGTAGTCAATGATAATACCTGGCCGGAGGAGCAATAACTATGCGCACAAGTGATAGAATGTAGCATCTAGCAACGAACGTGTTTAAGACACTTTTAAACACATGACAGCACCCAATGGATCTTGGCATATATCATGGATTAGCGGACCAGAGCAAATGAGTAATATGAAAAATCAATAAAAATGAAATTGTAGTCGCCGATAAGCTCTGAGTTTAATTTTATATATTTTTCGCATATCATCTTATTTTAAGCTATCTATTATTTCCCAAGCGAATTAATAATTATTTTTAGATAGTAAGCTCAAAGTTAATTGGCCAGTCTCGTACTAGTATATCAAAATTGGTAATTTGAAGAATTTAAAAACCTGGACAAGAATAATTGTAACGATTAAATTCTGAGTGGGTTATGCCGAATTATAAGATGTTTAAGTTAGGAAACCCGCGAGGCATTTATAACAGATGGAGAAGCCATAAACGACAGAAGGGAGATATAGAACTTTTTGGGAGTGCGGTACGAAGTCATTAAGCCAAAGAAGTGATAGAAAGGACACTCGGGTCATAAAAAATTAAATTTTTTAACTTAATATCACAAAAAGTCGCTTAATGCTTTAAAAGTAAGCTATACTATAACATGTTCAATAAAAAGAAAATTATAAAGGAATTCTAAACAACAGAAAATCAAAAGGAGTGCGCCAAGTTTTCTAATAACAGTGTTAGAAGCTATAGTGGATAAAGAGAGTGAGCAATTTTGAAAATCAGTGGCTGAAAATAAAAAGCGCTGGAATTATGGCATTAAAAGAAAGTACACAAAGGTTAAGCTTGCACGTATCCTATATATACGAGTAAAATTTTCATTACACCTTAGTCACTTAATTGTTTAAGTCTTAACAATTAACAGGTATATCAATTTTATCGACTTCTATTAACCTGGTACACCCGGCAATAATGATTATTATTAGCAGATAATAACTTTGTAATGTTGACATGGATCTGTGATGTTATTACTATTATATAAAATTAAATAATTTTTATATTATTATGATTATAAAGGCGCTTAATAATAAATTAAGAAGTGTTATTCCCGTATTATGTTAACGATTCCTGCAATTCCGCAAATACTATAGCGCAGTTGCAGCTAAACAAAGTTATAAAATCTAATAAAAATGTTTATTTAATATATTTTTTGGCTTTGGTTAAGAAGATTTTTTTTAACTCTACAACTCCTCAAAGTTGGTAAGTTCCGACTTCTAGTTTGAATATGTATTACAATCGCATCTTCTTATAATATCACAAAGGTTAGTGGATACACAGTGCACAATAAATTTTTTAAAAGGCCTAAATTACTTATAAACAAAGAAAAACAAAAATCTTTACAATCCTAATAACGATCCTGCATTAAAACTTTCAAAAATGTGTTAATAATTTTTTAAAAAATTCTTAAGTGCCACAAACTATTTTATTACAATCGATATACACTTCTTTCAACTCCACAAACTCAGGTTCGTAGAAACCATAAAATTAAAAAGTTAATTTTTTTTTACTGAAATAATGAGTTGTAAAATAAGCTATTTGTAGATATTAACACTTTCATTTCATTTTTTAGGCATAGAGATGAAAACAATTGAGCCAAAAGGTAAATACCTCCTGCCTGCCACATGGGCACGCGCAACCTGTACCTCAACTTTTAACTTGTAGATAGACGGGGGTAGTGTACTCAATATCGATTACTAATAGGAGTAAAACAAGAGGGGGCAGATACCAACTTAAAAATAAAAGTATTAATAGAAATTTACGAGGTAATACTCAATAACTTCATTAATAAACTAAATTTGCTAAATCTTGTGAACGAAGTTTTCTAGTATAAAAGTATATTATTCATGAAAAAAGAATTATTTAAAAAATTTGGGGTTCCAACGTGCTCGTCACATTTTAAAGGAAATTTTGTAAATAATTTATGACTCAAAATGTAGACAAAGTTAACCAAAATTTACAGTCTAATTTCTTTCATAAAACTTTATTAAATACAGTTGGCGAGTGCTATTACAATATTTCTTTTTATTAAATTTGTTTACAGCTTCTTAACCGCCAAAATTATTTCTGTCATGGAGGAGGATAAGATCGCGTGGGTCCACGAGTAACAATACCGAAGGGGTTAATAGTAGGATGAGAGCGATAATAATGATGCTAAAATGTAAAACATAAGCACTTAGTGGATATAATAAACATAAGGTACTTTTATATACTCTATATTTACTGTCTCTGTAATGCCGGTAGATGTTCCGCATATAATCTAAAAGATTGGGGTAGTCAATAACTCGCTTGACATTGCACTTAAAATGTCCGTGGTAAACCTGCAGCAAATTAGTAAAAATCTTTTATAAACCGGATCTCGTTGAATCTGATTAG